AAAATGGCTTGAGCCTTGGTTCTGGAAGTCTCCACAGAGATTTCAAAGCTTTCTTAAAGGGGACATCGGATGCAAAATTCACTTTTACATGGTGTTTGGATATAAACGTGTCTTAGCAGTGTGTGGACAACCTTCCTACAATCATAAAAAAGAAGCATTCACTGCTTTTTTTTCCCCATCCCCAAAAAACCTAAACAGTCTCAATTATCAAGTCCTTTTGATTTTCATGCCCCGCCCACAATCGCTGACGGACCCTGTATTAGCATATTTCCGCTCTCAGCTAGTTATACATTGTCTGCCATTTTCTCCGTGCTCGAGCAGCTGTAGCGATGACAATAAGCAATGCAGGTTTTTTGTAGTTGGATGTAAAAGTGAACTTAAAGTCTTAATTTTCTCCTAACATGAGAGCCACCGAGGACACAGTGGATTCGTTTTGTTACACAAAAACAGAAGAGAGGGGTGGAGTGAACAGTAGTTCATTATCATTTAAAGAGACATGCAACGAAACGGGTCGCTTTTTGACGAGGTAAAAAGGGTGTTGTTTTACATGACCGTTGAGGAATTTTAACCAAAGTATTTTGCTGACATTTAATTAAGACCCTAATGAATCATACCAACTTGTGGAAAATGGGCCATTCAAACAGAACATGTTTTTGCTTTGAAAAATGTGAGATGTGGGCAGTGGACTGGGGGGAAAAAATGCAAGGTCAAGAGAAGAGTTCTTTAAAGGCTTAACTTATTTTAACTGGAAAAGTAGCACAGTAGAATGCAAAAATGCATCCTATGTAGGGTTGCAAATGAGTGGAGAATTTCCGGAAACTTTCCAAAAATCCCTGGAAGATTCCAAAAAAAAAATCCTGGAAAGTTTCCAAAGGATTTGTTTCTGAAATGTACTGGAAATTTTCCACCTTTTTGCAACCCTGATCCTATTTAAACCAGCCTTAAGCCATGAACAAAACAAATCAGCTCTGCAACAAATTACAACTTTAATAACTCTGATTAAAAGTATGTGAAAATTGTGTACAATTCTTTGAATTAATTAACTATATGCCATGAAATGCTGTGAAATTTGTAACTGATTTAGAAAAGGCTTATGGCAAGTATGAAAATAAATATATTTTGCTTCTTGCTGCAAGAGAAAAAATTGTTTATATATACCCTACCATTCAAAAGTTTGGGGTCAGTAAGATTTTATGTTTTTAAAAGAAATTATCAAATTCTGTAAAGACAGTAATATTGTAATTTCTATTTTAACATTTTAAATTGTAATTTATTCCTCTGATGGCAAAGCTGAATTTTCAGCATCATTACTCCAGTCTTCAGTGTCACATGATCCTTCAGAAATCATTCTAATATGCTGATTTGCTGCTCAATAAACATTTATTATCAGTGTCGAAAAACAGTTGTGCTGCTTAATATTTTTGTGGAAATCTTTGATGAATAGAAAGTTTAAAAAAAATAGTATTTATTTGAAATAGAAATCTTTCGTTACATTGTAAAAAATCTTTACGGTCACCTTTGATCAATTTAATATTAGTATGCTAAATAAGCACACTACATCGAGGATCTTCCCATAATCCACAACAAAAATCAAAGTTGTTGACTCAGCTATTATGATGCTCACTTATGATCTTCTACAGAAGCTTATCAATTAAAAAAAAAAAAAAATCTATTTAACTTCCAGAACTATGACAGTTTCCCTCTAATGAGCGTGTCAGTATTTTACCGGTCTGAATTGGGTCTCTCCTGTGGCATGTCATCAGGAGTAGCACTGCCAAGGATTCTCTTCCTGGCCTCTGCATATTCTGCCTCTCGCTGAGCTAAGGATTTTACTTGTGGGGAGGGTCGAGTCTGCGTCACAGATGATCCTAAAGATCCGTTACTGGAAGGTCGCTTTAAAATACGAATCTGAGGTGGGGGTGCTGCGGGGAGGGAGTCATCCTGGATTACGATGGCTGTTCTCATCGGAGAACTGCTCGAACTGCCACTTGAAAGTCTGGAAGAGCATCCAAAAAATAAAAAATGATTTTTTTTTTTATGAGTAAAACAAGCAACACAGAGCAAAATATGGACTCAAAAACTAAAGGATGACCAGACACACCTTTCTTTCTGACTGATTCGAAGCTTTTCCTCTAGTCTTCTTTCCATTTCCTAAGTCAAACACACAAAAAAATGAAAATTCTACTGGAAGAATATCTCAAAGTTATCTTATAAAACAGTACAGGCAGGCCACTTCAAGGAGGAGCCTCTGAAGCAGCAGCAAGTTTTCAATGTCACAAAGTTATTTATATATCCTTAGTGCAGTGGCTAAATTAATGACAAGGCCGAATTACAGAGTGCTGCTTGAGTAGGTAGACAATATGTGGCTTTTCTAAACAGAGACTTGAGAGACACATTCAAATGGAGGGAAAGATGTGTTTACGGAGCCTAATGGCTGGGGTGTTGACCTCACTGGCAGACAAATACTGACAAACCCTTTAAAAAGTCTCACGTTTTAAAAGAGCTCAATATTTAAGCAACCATGATACATGGTCACATTTTGCATGCTCGCTCTCGCTATATATATATATGCTACTAAATGAGAGTAAAGAAACGCGATATTAAATACCAATGAACTTTTTCTGTCAAGGGCATTTTTAAAGTAACAGCTCAGACCAAAATATGAAATTCGGTCATTTATTCATCCACATTTCGTTGTGAAACTGTATGCATTACTTTCTTCTGTGGAACACAACCGGAGAAGTTAGGCAGAATGACAATCCCAGTCACGAATAACTTTTTATTGTATTGAAAACAAATCGCAATGAAAGTAAATGGAGACGGAGACTGGATTCTGCCTCACATCATCTATTTCGCTCTACAGACGAAATAAGGCCAGAAATGAGAGTAGACGACAGTTTTTTTTTTCTTTAATTGTTAAAAAGCTAATATTTTAAATGTATCTACAAAACAATATTAACGCTCATGAGATCCACACATCTGTACCATCCGAAAGTTATAACAAGAACGGAGCTTATTGAGATAAACCTTCCATTTTTAATCTAAATCACTACAGAACGTTACTTAACTAGATAAAGCCATGTTGATTTGTCAATGATACTGTGGAACAGTGTATTTGTCAATGATACTGTGGAACAGACCCCAGGACAAACTGAAAACTTGTGAAAACCGCCTGTTGACTGTCTGAATGGAGACTATCCCACTTCGATATTCCACTGCTTTGAAAACGTATTTCCGCATAAAATCAACTCATACAATTCTACATGTATCAAAAATACACATTCCCTTCTCTACGACATCCAACAGGTCTCGGCCCTTTCGGCAGCCATCTCTGGTTTCTTATACGGTGGCAAAGAAAGATTTTCCCCTTTTTATTCATCAGAAGTTGCCCCGGCTAACTAGCATTAGTTAGCAGGCAGTTTCATTTCATTACGCCATTTGCTTTGAACACAAATTGTTTTACGTGACGCACGAACGTGTCGCTTCACCACCTGCCATTTTCAAAATATTTTACCTACTGGTTTAAAATAAGAATTATACCACAACATCTGATTTGGGGCCAGTTTCCCTTTAACTGCGGCCTACCGCCCAACTCTAAATATACAGGTGTGACTAGCGCGCTAGCATGAGGCCGGTGGTATGAATCAGCCTAATGCTCCACACGAGGCTGTGTACATTGAAAAGACAGTTTGTGGAAGAGAGAAGGAAAGCTTTTCATAGATTTACCCCACTATCGGCGGCCTCTTCCCAGCTCTCGGCGACCTCCTCATCATCCATGTTTCCACTCTTGGCTAACTAGGGGCTTCCCTCAGCCCACACGCTAACGCACATTTTCACTCTACAGCGTCAATGAGCCGCTTAGTGTTACACAGTAGCGCCATCTGCGGCTGGGAGGATAGAGTTACAGAAATGCTAAGAATCATAAAACTGTGTTTACACCAGGGGTGCCCAAACTCGGTCCTGCAGGGCCGGTGTCCTGAAGAGTTTAGCTCCAACCCCAATTAAACACACCTGAACCAGCTAATCAAGCTCTTAATAGGCATACTAGAAACTTTAAGGCAGGTGTGTTGAGGCAAGTTGGAGTAATAATAATAATAATAATAATAATAAAGCACTAGTTTAACAACAAAATGCACACCACGTGCACGGGCTGATACAGTCCAGGTTTCATATATATATATATATGGATTTGATCATTGCCACGTATCCTAAAGCAGGTAGAGAACAAAAGACTGAACACAACATGATGAAAACAACACAATGAAATTTAAAAGATTTAAAAAAATCTCGTAAAAGGAACTACATGGACACAGGAAGTAGTGGATAGCATGAAGGAGAACTTCATTCGAAATTGCACGAAAGTACAAGCGTGCGCTAACTCAGGTGCGCATGCCATTTTTAGAGATGACCTCTCTTGATGGTTCAAGTTCTGGTATGTTTAATAGAACCAAAAACTGGTTAGCAACACACACACACACACACATATACATACATACATATATATATATATATTTGGGCTGGTAATTTAACGTGTTAATTAGATTAATTAATTACGGTGAAAAAGTGATTAATAAATGGCACCTACTGGCAGTTTTAGTTTATTATTTAGAGTATCATTTCATTAAAGAAACATTTCATATTTCCATATTAATAATAATAAAATTAATAAAATTAATTAAAGGTATAGTTCACCCACCCAAAAATGACAATCGTGTCATCATTTACTCACCCTCATGGTCCAAAAGTGTAAATGTAATCAATTTGATCAAATAAAATATTTATTGCTGAAGCTACTTGTTGTAATGTCTGTTTGATGCTTTACACAACAATGACTTTAAATGATCTTTTGGGAGTAATTTCTCAGCCAAATTTGATGTGTGATTAATTTGCGATTAATTCGATTAATTAATCGCCACATCATGTAATTAATTAGATTAAACATTTTAATCGCTTACCATATATATATATATAGCCTATATATAGGTGTATCTTATTTGCATATTTAAAAATTACACTCCAATGTTATCGGTATAACTAAGCTGGAGGTTATGGATCCCCCTCGTGTTATCAAAACTCATCTTCCCATCCAGCTTGTGCCTCGTTCTTTCTGGGATGCTGGTTGCAAGTTTAGAAGGTTAGATTTCATGGGCTGTATTGAAAAATACGATATTATGTGACTGCCAATTCATTTTTCCATAGGTTATACAGTACATATGGCCCGTAATCCGAAAGGCACTGTGGTTTCATATTATCATTTTGACCGAATGAATCTTCACCAGCTAGAGCCTGGCCCTTGGCCACAATATCTGGAGAAGTTCATGTCAGGGCAATGTGAGTCATTCATGCTGCAGTTGAAAGATACTGTTGACCACAGCAATTGCCTTTTTTTGTGTAAAATGTGAATGCGCTTAATTATGATCTTGAATGAACTCCTAATGACTGAATCATTTTTTCAGTGGGTTGGGGATCCTGGTATGACCACGTTAAAGGATACTGGAGGGAAAGGCATAACAAGAAAATCCTTTACATATTCTATGAAGACATGAAAGTGGTCAATCAGATCAAACATTGTTTACAAATGAAAACAGCCCAAAACTAACAAATATTTCAGTGGATTTTGATGTGAGAGGACAACAGGAGATGGACTTTCACTGGAGGAAGCATTATTATGAATTATGGATGCATATTTTGGCCAAAAGCAACTTTTTAAAGTTAAAATGACTTAATGGATTTGTTTCTTAAAAACATGCAGCTTATCACTTCACAAGATGTGAATGGACTGGAGTCATGTGGATTTCTTGTGGATTATTGTGTTGCTTTTATTAGCTGTTTAGACTCTCATTCTGATTCACTGCAGAGGATCCATTGGTAAACAAGTGATGGAATGCTAAATTTGTATTTATCCACATCTTGGATGGCCTGAGGGTGAGTAAATTTGAACTAAGGTATAATTCCTTTAACTAAGACTAATTATGAGTACTTGACTTATTTGTATAACTTGTATTTATTTATAATTTCAGGACCCTGTTCGAAGTTACCCACATTGCTTAATTCCTCAGACGGTAGTTATAAAAAAATTTCTGCAATGCGAGAAAACCCCATGGCAAACTACTCAACTATCCCAGATACAATCTTTGATCGTACAGTCTCAGAGTTCATGTTATGAATCATTTAAATTGGATTTGCTCTATTCTTTTGCAGAATTTATTTTTATTTTACTTTATAGGTGAAGCTGGTGACTGGAAGAATCACTTCAGTGCAGAAGAGGATGCTGCATTTGAGGAACATGATCTCAAAATAATGGCTGATTGTCCTATTCCAATACGGTTCACAATATGAAAGACTGAAATGGAGTGTGTCTGTTTTCTAGTCCAGAAAACAAAATTACAATTTCCTAAATAAATGATAAACTATTTAATCCCATATGTTTCTATTTTGCCTCATAAAGTACATTGTTGGGCAACAAACTGTAATATAAATGTACTACTCTGGATGAGTGGTAACTGTTGACTGTTCAAAGCTCTCGAATGCAGTGTAAAGTTCAAGTCCCATCATAAAATCTCTGGAAAGTATACATAATATATTAACGGAAATGAAAATAATCCCCCGCAGAGGGCAGAAATGTAATGTTTCTTTATTTCATATTTTTACCATTTTGAATCAGGAACAGGCCTCCGAAATAATTATGGAAATACATTAATATATTAAAACTTTGTGGCTGTAGAGAAACAAATCATACAGTTGTAAAAACTGATCAAGGATTAAGTGACCTTTGAGACTGTGCTACCAAACCTCCAACTCTCATATCTGCACTTGATAAAGGTTATACATGAGTGAGGATCGCAAACAACGCAACTGAAAATAACAAAACAAGGTCAGTACTGATGCTTTTGATTTAAGATTTCATTTTGTTTTTTGTGTGTGTGGCCAATTTGACTAGTATCTATGTAAACAATTCACTGACGCATTAAACAATTTCTCACTTTCATAGGCATGTTGTCCTTCATTTCCCGGTTTGTGCCAAGTGTTCCTACTTGGCTAAAACCAAGTGCTATTCCTTTACATAGTGTTTTACAAGGTGAGGCATTAAATGAGTGTTCTGTCACAAATTTTCAATAATAAAGGAGTTCATTCACTGATATCATTTTGATAATATATTTATTGACTTATTCACACATAAATATCTAATAATATTTAAAATATGATCTGTTGGTATAATTTTGCCTTTTCTGCATTGTGAAATATTATATATGTATGTATTATATATAAATGTCTTGTGTTTTATGTTAATCACAGGGCTTGTGGGTGCTTGTGGAATTTGGGTTCTTCGTAACCTTTTAAAAACTTACTTGTTTGTTGAGGCACGGAGGTTAGTTATATGTGCTATGTTGTTTAACCCATGCTGTATGGCTGAAGATAATAGATATTTAATATGATATAATATTTCAATAATAAGATACGACAGTTTTTGTGTTGATGTTTTTGTACATTTCTCTTGGCTGTCTTTTAAGTATCGCAGATCCTGAAACAGACATTAAACGAAGGAACAGACTAAATGGTGGAATAATAGAGAAAATTCAGTTCTGGATCCTAACCGTGCTTCTTTCTGTTGTGGGGTCTCGTGTTGCATCACTAATAGTTTTAGAGTTCTCTCTTAGAGCCATTTCAGCACGGATCGCAGGAGGATCAGTACGAGCATAATTGATTTATGACATTTAATACATTTGTGCATGACAACTCGTTATCATTCTAGATAAAATGTTCTTGTTCTTTTTTGTTTAGGACTCAATAATGGACCCATTGTTACTGCTGATTATCCAGTGCCAGTTCTCCTTGGGCTGCGCACTAACCTGCAGCCTTAATTTCCTCCATGAGGGGGCACCACAAGGCTGGCTAAGCCTCCTCCTTGCAGTTGGACTGAGCTGGTTCTTGGCAAGCAGGTGCAGCAGAATATGGCGACATGTAAATACAATGTATCCAATACACAGTACACAGCGCTATTGTGGACTTTGCATTGGACTATTAACCACTGGCACTTCTATATTAGCCTGGCTCTGCAGTGCCTTAATTATAACTTTTAGCGTATCTGGAATTGCTGCCATATCAAACATAAACCAAAACTTTCTATCGACCACTGAGGCTCTGAGATTTTGGACCCCACTCACAATATGCTACACTCTGCTGGTTGTGTACATGAATGGTAAGGCAATCAAATGGTAACACTTAATGGTTTTAAACAGTTCTATTCACTGGAATTCATTTAAAATTGTAATCTTTTGTAACATTATAAATGTCTTAACTGTCACCTTTGATCAGTTTAATGCATTGTTGCTGAATAAAAGTATTAATTTATTTTTAAAAAACAACAACCTTTGAACAATATTGTAAATTTCATGCCAACACTGGCCGTCATTTGAGTCTAATCACAAGTATATAATCAATCTTTCAGAGGATCGACATCAATCGCCTGGCCAACAGATTCTCAATACAGTCGTTGTGCGCCTGGGTGGGCTTTTCGTGTTACTGATTACAGTGGGCAGCTGGTCAGATGTACTCCATGTTCTAATCTGCTTCATTGGTGAAGCTGCGTGCCTGTTACCATCTCAAGACCTTTTGGAAGCCATATATCAGGTTAGAACTAATAATTAATTGCATTTGCTGATCTCTTCATCTGATCCCCAAGGCATCCATTATATAACTAAGATTATGTGCATACAATTTAATGATGTACTGTATTTTCACAGCATGTCACCTATGTGCCTAAAGGCCCATTAAAAAGCCATGGAAAACAGGAGGAACAAAGGAAATTGGAAAGGAAACTGGACTAGGCTTGGATGAAAACAAACTTGACATATACAGCCTATATATATATATATATGCCTACACACACACTTTCTCTACAAAATACATTTAAGTGAAGAGATGTGCTTTTTAAGTCCTTAATATTTAAAGTCCATTTAGCTTTACTCCCTTAACATTTACATTCATTTACACTCCCTTAACATTCAAGTACTGCATGAAAAATGAATGCCTTATGAATGCCTTCCATCGTAATAAATATAGCTATTCGATACCTTTATGTATACGATGTATTGCATTAATTCCCTCTATACTTAAATACATATTTAAAAAAAAAATCAAGAATATAATTAGAGAGAACTTAACGTGATTAAATTACATTTCACTTTATATTCATTTTGATTATCTATGACTTGGATATAGGAACAGTAACAAATAGTTGTATTTGCTAGGGTCACCCGGGCATTATAATAAAGATAACTAATACATCAAAAACAGTTCAAAATAGCAATTACACTCACTAAATAATTGCGTGTTGTCTTGTAACATTTTTGAGCCCATTAAAGGCAGCCGTGCGCTAAAGTTGTTCAACTGAACTTGAACCCAAAATAGCTCCACTGGAAACAAAATGGCCGCGGCGCTGTCATTTCTTTTGTTGTGCTGGGTTTTTCTGCACTAGGTTATGCTCAAAATGGCGTCATATTTCAAAGAACATTCTTTCGATAACTGGCGCCAAAAATTAACAACTGAACATTCACGAACATCGAGTGTGTGGTCTGTTTGTGGCATGCAATCTGCAAGTGTTTAATTCTCCACGGTCTCCAGGATGTTTTAAAGCGCTCAAACATACAAGGACAAAACATTTCTCTCAAACGCATTCCACATTCTGTCGCCTTTTTATAAATCCAGTTGTTTCCTCTGTCGAATAAATACATTACAATAATTTTTTTAGCAATTTAGTAAAGCAGTAAATGTCTTCATGTCCTTAGAAGTTTGCCACACCGTCTTGTGGTGTTTAGGAGCAAGAAGAAAAAAGAACATTGTTGTCCCAAGTATCCAGGGGAGTCATTTATTGTATAACATGCAACAATATTGTTTAGGCCTAAAGTGCGCTTTTGTATTTCCAACGTGCAACCAATCCCAAATCCAATCCCAAAAGCACTGTCAAAGAATTACATTTTATTAGTTCTATTCCATATATTAAGGATTTAGGCAGATCCAGAAAGTCCAGTGAATTCCAGTGAAGACTCAAGACTGAATCTGAAGATTATGTGGCTTGCTCAAGATCCAGCTTGAGAACCAGCTCCACCTCAGTACAAGTTCCAGAATTTTCTGCCAGTCAGAGGGTTTGTAATTGCTCTTTGTCAAAACTCTGTGTGGGCGTGTAAAGCGCACGCGCTATTCATCCATTGCGGTCCCTGTTTTGCCGCATTCTGGCGCATGCGTGCATCCAATCATACGCCTCGTGCATAGTTGGAAAACAGTCAAATGTTTGTTTTAATAAAGAAATGTTATATGATTGGACATTATCTTGGGTGTTTCTTCAGGACACCATTTGATTGCCACAAGCTGGTGATTAATCATCGCCTTTATTTACATTTTGGACAGTTGATCCTTGCTGTAAACAGACTACTGTCATTAATTATTAAGCTTACATTCGATGCGATGCTTGTCTTTTCAATAACTAATCATGCTAAAGGCATCCTTCTCGCCGTTGTAGTTAAGACTGGGAGATGTCCGACCACTAATCTCCCACAAATACAGATGGAACTATTATTATCATCTAGAGAGAATCCAGTTGAGTCCTCTAAATACACTAGTTCACTTGAGTACAGAGTATCTAGTCATGTCTTTTGTTTTGACTTGTAAGTCGTATATCAAACAGACAGTTCCCACCTGGATTTTGGGAAAACAAATGGCTGTGCAAACGTATACAAAGCAGCAGTACTGAAACTAATAATACTGTCATTAACACCGTCCAGCCACTGACTCTCGCGAATAAAGAGTTTGCGGTAAACCACGAGTCTCATACATTTTACACCCCAAGATTATGATTAACTTGCATTTTAAAGTCATGTTCTACAAAAAGGCTGTCAAATGTCGAACTAAAGCAAAGGGAACCAAGTCTGACTTTTACCTTGCACGCTTAAAGATATATTTATCCAATATATATATACCCATTTTAACATTTAAAAGTGATTTACAATAAAATATGTCATGTCCGATTTTATCCATGAGGAATTCCGAGTGCTTATTGCTTATGCGCGATCTCGTCATGAACCGGAGCGCGCTCCTCGACAGCGAGGTTCAGGCTCTCGCAGTCAACACAGCTTTCAAGTGCAAGCGGGTCCAGTCAGAGGAACTGCTCGCCACACCACACACATTCAGTCGGATTTAACTCGGTACAATCTTCTGTATGGTCGGGGGACACCAACACGCAGTATGGTCCGGGAAACCAGACATTTATGGGTGGGGAATTTACCAGAAAATGTACGAGAGGAAAAAATTATCGAGCACTTCAAACGGTAAGTGACGATTTGCCGAGAGCGAGACAACATCCAGCAATGTGCTTCCTTCAAGTGTTTTGGGGGGAAACAATAGCAGCACACCGGTGCAGAGTTAAACACCTTAAACGTGTGCCACAACTTTCGCAGCGACGCTGCTATTGAGTTGGCTTGTTTTGGCTCACTTAACGTACGCTGGCTAGTGAGTTAGCTTTCGAGAGTCGCAGACGTCGCTAGGTTGCTAATTAGCACGGAGGGTCGCATACAAGCGCATAACTATTGGCTTCAGTTTGCTTTAATTTGCAACCCAGATGTCAGTAGCACCTCTTAAAAGTAGTAACGTTTATTGCTCGATGGTTGAAAAAAAAAAAAATATATACTGCGAGCGAGTTGAATGGGCTAAATGGTGTCTACTACTAAAGGCAATAAGGCATCACAGTGGGTGTTGTTATGAGCTTCCTCGGCTCAGATGTCATGAATGTCAGGCGAGCGCTGACCGTCAGTGGCTGCATCCACAAGAAGTCAAACAATAGCAGTGTGGGGTTTAATTTCAAGACGAGTTTTATGTATGAAAATGTGCAGGACCAACCTGCAAATTATTATGTCAGTCTATAAACATGTGGCGACGGTTCGTATTACTGCACCAATAGGACGTTTGAGTTGTCAGCCAGAAGTTTGTGTATGTATGGCGGTGAGGTGTACTCTCATACGCGGGCTGGTTTGTCTAGCATGGCAGCAAGACATGATTTTTAGTGTTACAAGAAACATCTAGCGTTCAAAACCACCCATATCTGCACGTTGTAGCCACTTACCTGAGGGGGTTTTATGCGCATTTCTGACCTGTATGGATTCAGGTAATGCAAGGTATCGTTTTTCAATGAATTCACGCAGAAGTTACAACCTGGCTTTGGTTGGAAGGCGTAACTAAATCAGAACAACACGGTTTGTTGGAACTAAATGGTGCGAATCTGTCTTTAGCTCACGCCTGAAACAGCGTGGTGAGATTTCTCCCTCAGTAGTGACATCGCAGTACCGTGTATTACACGTCGAACACATTTGACTTTATATCGTCCCAAACTATATCGCACATCTCTCTATAAAAGGTTGGATTTCTAAACATATCCAGCTTTATCCGCATTCATATACATGCAGTATGGTCACGCAAAGTGAAACTACATCGCAAGTACCAACTACATGATTGTTTGTGTCGTCGCAAAATGTAAACAATATTATCGCCCAGCTCTGTGCGACGAATTCATGAAGGTATTATAAACATTAACGTTATGTTTTTCTGTAAAGCTGCTTTAAAACAATGCACGTTGTAAAAAGCACTATATAAGATTGACTTGACTAAAGGCTGTCTAACGAGTTTAGTGACCACAAATGCATAGTCTATCTGTTACGTGTTTGTACAAATACAATCAAAACGCACAGATGTAAGTAACTTAGTCTTTTAAAGAATTCAGGTGTGATCGAACTCATCATAATGGTGTTTTTGTTGGGTTATATAACTAGTTTGTATTGTGCTGGAGATTTCCAAGCTGAAGTTAATGAACATAACACTGAATAGAAAGATATTACTTCGCGAGTCGAACACACACACACATATAAGATTTGTGTAAATAATTTATTCATCTACCAACCGCTTTGTTGTCTCAACGGTAGGCTTTTGTTCTATTTAGCTTTGAATTGTGGTAATGACGGTCGCCCCTTGAACGGGAACTAAATAAAACGCGCTCACGCTCAATTGTGACGGAATATTAAAGGAGAAATGGGTTTCTGTTATATAAAGGAAATAAATGCAGATCTATGCATCTATATAAATAAATGCAACATTTAAGTAGCCCAAAGTGATTTGTGTACGGTGACTGTCAAAGCTCAGGTCAGTGCGGCAGAGGTACTTATTGAAGATGGGGGACGCGAGAATGAATAAGCAGTGTGAATAGGTTTGTAAAATGGCGACGGAGATGGGAGTGTGAGAACTGGTGTGTCAGACAGCTGCTCACCTGAACACCCATTTGAATGCCTGTTGTTTATGACTCCTTTTCATATTTTGCTTACCAAGTGTTGTTTTAACCCCCATGTACACCTGTCATCGATTTACGCATGTTTTGTTTATTTGTTTGATGATTGACAGCAAATTAATGTGTAGTAGTATATTTACTTGAAACTTATGCAAGCTCCATGTTTCAAGGATTTTAAAGTGAAAAATAATGTACGTTTATTTACACAGGGCACAGGTACATAGAGCAGATCAAGACATCCTAATGAGGTTTCAAGCCTGAATGATTTGACAGAATTATGACATTTGACTGAATTCTGGCATTCATATATACTTATTGCTTAATGGCACACAGAGCTTAAGGGTAGAAAAAGGCTATGTTGGTTATTTCGCAATTCTGTGGTGCACCAGCAACAGGCTATCAAAATCTGATATTTGTTTTCCTACCATAATTATGGGATGTATTCAAATGAAGGGAGATATTACTGGCATATGGTTGATGCTACTCATACAGTGGCACATTTTTGTCTGAGGATGCAAAAGGCAGGCTGTTTTTATTTGAATAGCTTTATTTACATATTGCACAAATGACTGGCATGCAGGTTTGTTTTTTACTTTGCAGATTGGATGTAGATGGTTATTCAGATCAGCATTATTGATTGCAAGTATCATACAGTGCATCAGTGTTGGCTACAATTAAATACTTTTTCTGCCCTTTTTTTTTGCTTTTTTTTTTTTTAGATATGGACGTGTGGAGAGTGTCAAGGTGCTCCCGAAACGTGGATCGGAGGGTGGAGTGGCAGCTTTTGTGGATTTTGTGGACATTAAAAGTGCTCAGAAAGCTCATAATTCTATCAACAAGATGGGAGACAGGGACCTACGCACCGATTACAATGAGCCAGGAACTATTCCCAGTGCAGCTCGAGGCCTGGATGATAGCCTGTCCATAGCCACTCGTGGGCGGGATGTTTCAGGGTTCACAAGGGGGGTAGGGGGCCCTGTGTATGGGCCTCCTGTGTCACTCCACAGCAGAGAGGGACGCTTTGAACGCAGACTAGACGGGTAAGTGGACATAGTTTTTCTGAAGGCAGGGGGACCATTCGTTTCTTGTAACTCGTCTCTCCCTCCCAGTTATTTCCGTCATTAATTGGGCTGATTTATTGTTTTGGGGGCGGGTGACATAAGGGAAATTAAGAGAACACATTGGAGGGTATTAATTTGGGCATCAAGCTTTGATGGTCGAGGTCTGTCATCGCTCACCATGTAAAGCGAGCCAGTTTTGAAGTTTGTCAAAGCATGGTGACCATGCACCGAAATTCATTATCATTATGCAGAGATTAACGTGCCTCTGCATGGGGATTCTCTCAGAGTTGGATATCGCTGCGAAGAGAATCCAGGGCATGTTTCGGATTTCAAAATATTCTGGGATTTCTGGAAGCCAGAGCGAATCCATGAGCGTGGCCTTACCTGGAATTGCCCTATTCTGGAGTACTGTACCGCCCAAGGTGGATTAATGGGTTACATCATGTGTTTTTGCTCTGTTATTGTAACACGATTACGGTGTTGATCAATTAAGACCCATTGATTGGTAATTGGATTATTGAAATGGGTGGTTTAGGATCAGTTCCCTTCCATGATCTGGAGTGCTCTGGATGGTATTCTCTGGATTCTTAATCACACTGGATTAATACTACCCAATGACAAGGATATTCTATCACTACGGTTTCTTTTCTATATATATATGTTTTTTTGGGGATTATTTGTGGTGTTAGGGTTTGGCTGTTAATTACATGGGAGACTTCTGCCATTGATCAACATGGTAGAATGTGACAGAAACAAAGTGAGCAAATCTCTTTATTTATTCATTACTTATTTCAAGACCATTTAAGTTCATTTTTGCTTTTTTCCTAAACATCAAAGAAAAAAAGAATGGATTTAAAGTAGTATTTGGTCTAA